GGAAGGAAGGAAAGGAGGGAAGGAAGGAAGGAAGGAAGGAAGGAAAGAAAGAAAGAAAGAAAGAAAGAAAGAAAGAAAGAAAGAAAGAAAGAAAGAAAGTAAGAGAGGGAGAGAGAGCAAGAAAGAGTGACTAAATCATAAATTGAATGGTTGCAGGAACTGGGCCTGGCTAGTCTAGGGAAGAAGAGAAGGACCAGGGGAGACAGGAGAGCATCTTCCAATGTTTGAGGGGCTGCTACAGGGAGGAGGAAGGGGGTCAAGCTCTTTTCCAAAGCCCCTGAAGGCAGGACAAGAAGCAACAGACAGAAGTTAACCAAGGAGAGAAGCAACCTAGAAATAAGGAGGAATTTTCTAACAATGAGAGCAATCAACCCATGAAATAGAAGTTGCCTTCAGAAGTTGTGGGAGCTTCATCATTGGAAGCTTCCAAGAAGAGACTGGACTGCCATCTGTCTGAAATGGTGTAGGGTCTGCTTGGGCAGTGGGTTGGACTAGATGACCTATAAGATCCCTTCCAACTCTAATACAAGTTAACCAATCTGTATCAGCGTAGCTGGTCTGGAGTCCGTAACTAAGAGTTGGGAAATAGGAAAGAGTTTCAGGCGTTGTGGTCATCCTGCCCAGATCCTCCCTTGATTTCTGTCGTGGGCAGAATGACCTCGTGGGGCATGGGAGGCGCCAGGACTGCCTTTCACCCCTCCAGCGCCTTTGATCCTGTTGGCTTCCATTGGATCATTGACCGTCTCAATGGGGGCATCTCAAGCGTCCTGGCAGAAGCCAGGTGAGAACCTGGGACTTCTCCAATCGTGAATTATCCTTTCTTAACTAGGATAATCTGGAGGTTCTGCATGGCCACTGCTTCCACCTCCTCCCAAATGGTGCAACTTAAGATCGCTGTTATTATTACGCTTGATTGCACAGTCAGCCAGCTGTTCAGACTGGATTTGTCATTTTTGTCCAAACATTGAAGACTTTGGAGAGACAGGTGTGGCTGTCTGACGGGGTTTTTTGTCCAAACATTGAGGACTTGGGACAGACAGGTGTGGCTCTCTGACGGGGTTACATGTAATATCACAGGATGTGAGCTGTTCCAGGTCAAGCTGCCTTTTGCAATTGACTGGTGTTGATTTGGACAATGTCGATGGTATTATTCTTATTGTGGTCGTTATTATGGTTCTATTACGGCGCCTATCGCTTTTGAGACTTCCTTTGTTTTCTTTGTTGTTCTGTTTCTATTTGTGGGTCTATTTTGTGATCTTCTCCAACTCTTTCCCTTCTACTCTGCAATTTCCAGGTCCTGCCACGTCCACTAGCCAGACATTTTGGTGTGGGTTTCTTATCAACAATTGTTACGTCTGGGGTGTTACGTGGCAGGTGCCTGTCTGAAGTCTTCATTTTTCAACAACTTTCTCTATTTTATAATCCCAGCAGTTCTCGCTTGCAGGCAAAGGGTATTTCTTGCAGATCTTCCAGTACACCATTGTTGCTACTTTGTCGTGCCACTGCTTGTGGTCAGTCTGGGTGATCTTCCTGCAACTGCTAACCAGGCTGTCCGTGTTCCTTCTCCTTCTTTGCAGAGACAGTATTTGCTCTCTGTTGCTGTCTTCTCAATTATGGTTTTGTATGCATTTGTTCTCAAGGCTTGGTATTATTATTATTATTATTATTATTATTATTATTATTATTATTATTATTTTGTCTTTAGAATAGAATAGGAATTCTTTATTGGCCAAGTGTGATTGGACACACAAGGAACTTGTCTTTGGTGCAAATGCTCTCAATGTACATAAAAGAAAAGATACATTTGTCAAGAGTCAAGAATCATCAGGTACAACATTTAGTAATAGTCATAGGGCACAATAAGCAATCAAACAGTCCATATAAATCGCAAGGATACAAGCCACAAAGTTACAGTCATACAGTCACAAGTGGGAGGGGAGGGGTGAAAAGGAGTGATGAGAAGATTAATAGTAATAGTAATGCAAATTTTGTAAATAGTTGGACAATGTGGAGGGAATTATTTGTTTAGCAGAGTGATGGCATTTGGGGAAAAAACCTGCCCTTGTGTCTAGTTGTTCTGGTGTGCAGGGCTCTATAGCCTCGTTTTGAGGGAAGGAGTTGAAACAGTTTGTGTCTGGGATGTGAGGGGCCTGTGGATATTTTCACAGCCCTCCATGGAAGGCAGGTCGGTAGTAATTGTTTTTTCTGCAGTCCTAATTACTCTCTGAAGTCCGTGTCTGTCCTGTTGGGTTGCAGAACCGAACCAGACAGTTATAGAGGTGCAGATGACAGACTCCATCATTCCTCTGTAGAACTGGATCAGCAGCTCCTTGGGCACTTTGAGCTTCCTGAGTTGGTGCAGAGAGAACATTCTTTGTTGGGCTTTTTTGATGACGTTTTTGATGTTAGGTGTCCATGTTAGGTCTTGTGATATGATGGAATCGAGACATTTGAAGGTGTGATACTGTGTTGTCTAGTATTGTAAGAGGTGGTAGCAGGGGAGGGTTTCTCCTGAAGTCTACCACCATTTCTACTTAGTCTTTATGGATACCAGGAGGAGAACTGTACTTTCTGGCCTTTTCTTTGATGTTTCCAATGGGAACACCTTGTTCTGTAGATGATGGAAAACATGCAATGAATCCAGGCCTCTTATCGCTGCTGGACATTTCCACCCTGTATAACCTCAGAAGGAATGTGGAGGAGGAGGAGGAGGAGGTGGAGGAGGAGGAGGAGGAGGAGGAGGAGGAGGAGGAGGAGGAGGAGGCTATTCCTGGATCTCCTCAAACATTCTTTCTCCCTCTCTTGGTCTCTCCTTCCTCCCTCTTGACCCAGGAATTATCACTGCTGGGTGGAATCTTGGATGACCCGTCCAGACCTTCCTAGCGGCTATGACGGCTGGCAAGCCTTGGACCCAACTCCACAGGAAAAGAGTGAAGGTAAGCAACGGAAAGATCGTGCTTCCAGGTCTCTCCTAAAGGCTAAGGGAGGATATGGCATGGACAGACTGTTACCTGCTCCCAAGTCCACATTTGTAAGTCCACACTTGGAATACTGCATTCAGCAATGACGTAAACAAAACAAGACATTGAGATTCTGGAAAGAGGGCAGAGAAGAGCAACCAGGATGATCAGGGGACCGGAGGCTCAAACATACAAAGAATGCTTTCAGGAATTGAGCATGTCTCGTTTAATGAAAAGAAAGAATAACGAAATAACAGAGTTGGAAGGGACCTTGTAGGTCATTTGTCCAAACCCCCACCCAAGCAGGAGACCCTACACCATTTGTGACAGAGGGCAGTCCAGTTTCTTCTTGACAGCCTCCAGGGATGAAGCTCCCACCACTTCCGAGGGCAACTTCTGTTCCACGGGTTGATTGTTCTCACTGTCAGAAAATTTCTCCTTATTTCCAAGTTGAATCTCTCCTTGATCAGTTTCCATCCATTATTCCTTGTCTGGCCTTCGAAAATAGCTTCACCCACCCGCCCCCCTCCTCTCTGGGGCAGCCCCTCAAATATTGGAAGGCTGCTATCCTGTCTCCCCTGGTCCTTCTCTTCACCAGACTAGCCAGGCCCGGTTCCTGCAACCGTTCATCGTATGTTTTAGTCTCCAGTCCCCTCATCATCCTGGTTGCTCTTCTCTGCACTTTTTCTAGAGCCTCAACATCTTTTTTATAGTGTGGTGACATGATAGCAGTGTTCCAATATCTCAAGGGATGCCACAAAGAAGAAGGGGTCCATCTGGACTTCCGGTTTGAGCTTCTTCGGCGACAGACCGAAGCCTCATCTCCGCGAAGCTTTGATTTGTGCTTGCCGCTGGAGTGCCCCGAACTTTATTTAAAAAAAGAAGAAGAAGAAGAAGAAGAAGAAGAAGAAGAAGAAGAAGAAGAA